GTCCATTTTCCGACGCTGGTGGTGGTGGTGGTGGGGTGCAGCGCAGAAGAAGCGCAAAAGAAGACGGAAGGGCAGCCCCGCCGCCCCTGGGCACCAGCAGCAGGAGCGCGGGCATGATGATGATGATGCCGCCGGTGGCACCAGCACCAGCACCACCAGCAACGACGGCGGCGAGCAGGGCAGCAGCCCGGCGGAGCAGACAGTGGAGCAGAAGATGGAGCGCGCCCTGGGTGCCCTCCGCCCGGTCTTTCACGCGTGCCCCGCGGCTCCGTCACTGCAGGCGACGGCCGCCATTGCCGATGACCACCACGGCCACCACCACCACGAGGAGGAGGAGGAGGAAGAGGACGAGGGACAAGACGAAGCGCGCCAGCTGGACGACGGGGGTGAATCGGCGCCGGCCGCCAAGAGGCCCCGCATGAACGCGGCGGCGGCGGAGGAGGAGGGCGCGGATGACGATGGAGGCAAGAAAGGCGCACCACCGCCGCCGCCGCCGCCAGCACCACCACCTGGCACGGCAGCTGCGGTCCCGCCAGCAGACGCGTCTGACGGTGGCTGGCGAGAGGCCAAGGCCCTGGTCACCCAAGGTACGCCACACCGCCCCACGCCACTCTCGGGTCCCATCAGCGCCTGTCGCCCCAACCCCATCCCGGCTGACGACACACGACACGACACGACACGACACGACACGACACGACACGACACGACACGACACGACACGACACGACACGACACGACACGACACGACACGACACGACACGACACGACACCCCATCGTCTGCCGTTGGCCACCACCCATCCATCCACTGTGCGTGCGTGGGCGTGGGCGTGGACGTGGGCATTGTGTGGGGGGGGCTGCACACGCAGATGGTGAGGCCCTCTTGGCGTGGACGGCCCTGGGTGCCTCCCTCCAGCGCTTCGCAGGTGCGCTCCTCCTCCTCATCACCCAAAATCCCGCGGCGGCCGCGCGTGCCACACTCCGCACACTTCACCACTTTTGGCCAATCAAGCGTGTGTGTCGTGTGTCGTGTGTCGTGTGGTGTATGTCTTGTGTCGTGTGTGTCGTGTGTCGTGTGCTAATGCAGGAGGAGGAGGAGGAGCTGAGGAGGATGAGGAGGCTACACCGGTGGACGTGTGGGAAGCGGAGGCGGAGGGGCGCGCCGAGGCCATCATGGCGGGGCGGGTCGTAAGGAACGACCGTTGGGATCGGGAGGCCCTCCTCACGGCCCTGCCCGGCCGCACCTTCGTGATCCCGCCACGCTCCGCGTTCCTCATGGTACCTCCCCATTCCCCCTCCCCCCTCTCTTCCCCTC